AAAAATATAAATAATAATAATGATAATATTAACGAAAAATATACTGAAAAGAAAGAAGCAGAAATTCAATGACACATATGATGACGACAGTTTTTCAATACATAACCTAATGAAACCAAACACTTCAACAACAATACAACCACCGAAATTGATGAAAAAAGGCATACCGAGAGAATTTATTGACATTGCAACCAACACAGATACTATTGCTACAGCAACCAGAGAGACGCAAGAAAAGTTATACAATGATGCAAATCAACCATTAAATGTGACATTTGAAGCGTTTAAGGTAAAGGAAAACCAGGACAATATGTTTCAAATAATGCTTAAAAACTTTTGGCGCAACACATACAAAAGGAATGAACCAACAAGAACACAAGCAACACAAACACTGAAAAACCAACGCGACGCAATGGTGTCAGCCTTTACTAAAATGCTCGACAACAACAAACCGCCAGAACCACCGCCAAAGAAACCACCAGACGAGGATGACAGCGATGAAGAAGAAAAGAAGTTCAAACTGACAAAAATGATAGAAATAATGCTACACAACGGCGCTACAATAGCAGATATCATATTAAACTTATCACACAGCACAATTGCAACAACAATAAATATTGCAGATTTAGTTAATCAGATAACAGCATGGCATGCACAAAGTAGCAGTAGCAATTCATCAAATGAAGCTATTAGTGTTCATAGTTCTCCACCTATTACTGTTCATAGTTCTTCATCTGAAAGTCCAACAGAAATACCAGCACCAACTGAAGACGAAGAAGAAGAAGAAAACCAACATTTCAATTTTGAAAAATTAAAATCTAAATAATATTATATATAATGGGTATTGGTCAAAGTAAAAATGATGCAAATAACAGTATGGAAGACATTAAGACTTTAAGAGTAGATGAAAAAACAAGAGCAGATACCTTAATAATAAAATCTATTCAAGAATGTGTGGCACGAATTGAGAAATTAGAAAAAGAAAAATCTGACAAATTAATATATAAACTTCCTGCTTTACAATTTTGCAATGCTTCGTTAATTTAAATTGATAATATTAAAACATAATTAATATTATTAATTGCTATCATAATCTGTCATTTCACTTTCGGGTAATTTTGTTGAGGCGTTGCTACACATATCATCTATTAAATCTTCTTCATCAACAAAATTATTTTGAAATCTTAATAATTCCTCGTCTGTTGCCCTTCTTTTCAATACCTTATAAAGTTTATGTATCCAAGAATTAGTATGAAAATTATAATTACCTCTACGATAAAATCCACCACATCTACATAGTTTCATTGGCATATTATGATATTATATTAAGTTAGAATATCTTTATTCATCATTTGTAATTTGAAATGCCTGTTCAAAATTGATATGAAACATTTTGTTAATGTCTTTTGAATTCATGTTCACGTAGAAAAAAGAATATGGAGCAAAATTAACGGCTTGATGATACATATCTAATAATTGCTGTTTATCAACAATGGCGCTATTTTCTTCAATAAAACTCATTAGCTCACTGGCATTTTTCAACCTAAAAATATATAATGAACTGGCATTTAAACGAATGATAGGCGCCAAAACATTGTATTTTTGTGTTGAACAAATCACACTTACTGCATCGTGCCTGCCTCTTGTAAATAATCCATGTAATAATTTACTATATCTAACAAATTTAGGGTCGTCTGCGTGGTCATCTATAACGATTAATATTGAATGTAGTTTCTTTATCTTTTTAGATTTCATATAATTAATTATTTTCTTCTGTCTTTCAATTACATTTTCTAAATCACTTGGATTATAATTATCAAAATAAATTTGTTCTTTTTCATCATCCACGTGCAATTCATCCCTGATATATTTTTTAACTTCTGTAAATGTAGGGTCGTTATGGACGCTGGGTGAAAATATAAATATTCTTGCAAATGAATTTCTATAAACATTCAATATTAAATTTTGAATAAGGACAGTCTTACCGCCTGTCGAAGAAGCAACTATAATACTTCTAAATGGTAATTTTGGCACGTGCTCATATTTGGATTGCTTGAATTCATATTCAGTTATGTTTATTGGTTTTATTATTGGAACATCTGTCATAGTTGATATTAAAGATATATAGAAAATTATATTTAAAAATTAACTTGTAATTAATATTAAATGGAACATCATTTTTATGATATGCTGGTGGCGAATATCATAAAAATGGAACAGGTTGTCGCGAAGCTTCGCGAGGCATCGCCGATGCGTCCATTTCTTCAATCAATAAGCATTGAAGCTAATTAGTTTGTATCTCTCTCTCGCGTGTGCAATGAAAACCCCAAGTGCTGTGCCCCACCAATATTCTATTATGCATGAAAATAATAAGATTAAATAATTTAAACAATTATTTTATCTTATTATTATATGACTGTTATCCATTGCAATTGTTGTAAAACTTATGATGACAAATATTTATTTAAACATCTAAATTCAAAATATCATCAGAAATTTGTAGAATATAGATGGAATAAAGACGATACAATGAAAAAACTTTACAAGAAAAGAAAGACAGAAATGAAAAATAATTTATCTTATTATTTAATATGAAAAGGAGTTATACAGATTATATTAATATAATAGATGAAATGGAGAATATAGAACAAGTAATAATTACTGACAATAAAATAAAAAAATGTTGTTATTATTCATTAGAAATAATTAAGTTAGGAATTCAATATCTCAAAAATAAAAATGTAAATATTAATATAAATGCCAAGAAAGAAAAAGAGTAAAACCAAAGAAAGACCAATACCAGATATTGAAGCACGGAAAGAAACAGCAGAAAGTGTTAAATCACTAGGCGAAAGTAAGACTATAAAATGTGATAAATGTAATCACATAATGAATTTTAAAAATGAATTGACAGTAGATAAGAAAGGTGGAGTTAAAGTTAGTTGTGTCCCATGTATGTTTTCTTATAAAAAACAGATAAAGATTTTAATATTCAGAAAAGAACAGATGGTGATATGGTTATTGAAACTAACGAACATTTGATTAATGTTAGTTTTAACAGGGACATAAGTTAGTATTTAAAGAGTAGATTTAACATAATTGCACTTTATAAATATATAATTAAATAAATAATTATCTAAATAAATATATAGTAATGTCTGAAAATGAGAATTATACTATTAATGATTTAATGAAGACGATAACATTAATTGGTAAAAATATCAAAAACTTAAATGATATGATTAAATCCATTGATGACAAAATGAAACCAGTTGAACGCGAACAACAAAGCAACGAAGAGAAGGAGAAGATGAATAAGATTTTTGAAAAGAAAGGGATAGGCAGACCTAGCGGTGATTATGATACCAAGCGTAAAAAATACTGCGATATGTTAAATAAGGGACAAATCAAAAGTCCAAAAGAACAAACATTAGAATATTATAAACTAATTAAGGGCGATGATGATAAATATGTAATGGTTGGAAATTAAAATCTAGATATTTCTAATAATATGAATTTATTAGAATTATTTAGCAACAAGACCTATATAAAATACCTAGTAGTTTGATATTGGAAACTGTGATGAGTTTGACAGAAATCATTTTGGAATCGGGGAATGATTTTGATAGAATCGGGGAATGATTTTGATAGAATCGGGGAATGATTTTGATAGAATCGGGGAATGATTTTGATTATAACCATGCTATGATTATAACATGTAAAATATTATATGTTATAAGTATATTCCAATATTTAATTTTATTTCTTGTAAAAAAGTATTTAAAGAAATAAACACTATATATATATATATATTATAATAGAAATGGAGTTTCAAAAGCTACCAGTTGAAGTTATTAATAATATTATGTCCTATAAATATGGCAAGCCAGAATATATGAAAATAAAGCATAATCATAATGAAACATTGAAGAGAATACAAAGAAGATATAAAATTGACAAAACTGACATAGAAAGGGAAACAAAGCACTGTAATAATTTAGATGGTGATAAAGTAAAGAGACAAATATGTCAATATTATGTTTCTAGGAAGGTTCCATTAAGCATTGAAAGTATTGAAGATATAGTTATGAAAGAAGGGGATGAAATAGATAGCTTACTAGATAAGTATGTAGGATATGAAAGTTATAAAGCAATAATAATAGTTGATATAATTTTATGTGTAAGGTTTCATCATTTTAATTATTTTGAGGATGATGAATATAGCAGTTATGGTTTTGATTTTCATAGTGGTAGACACTTAATGGGTTCTATAGACCAAGATAATATAACTGATGTAATGGAATACGCAGTTGCAACAATATGTAGAAATATTGATAATGAAAGGAATACAATGAATATTGTAGGAGTAAAACACATAAGGTTTATACTAATTATTGATGAACCTGAATAATATAACCATACTATGATTATAACATTTATACCCTTATATGTTATAATTATAATGTAAGTATAGCGTTTTATATATTGAAGATAAAATCCTACAAGGTGGGCCATGCGCAACTCCGGAATATCCAAAATTTGAAAAATGATTAATTATTAGTCTTCTCATTGAATTATTGAAAATGTTGTTTCTTATTGAATAATTCTTCTTAAAATGATATATATATTTATCTCTTTTGAAAAAAATATATTTTCTAAAATATTTTGGAAAATGTGTGTTTTTGAAAATAAACATGTTTAGGTGTATTGAATTTTTCAAAAAATAATTCAATTTTTGTTTTGGTATGCAGTACTAAAAAAATATTTATCAAAATGTGTTTAGACTGTTTCAAAAAATGTTTTAAAATGGCTGTTTTGGTGCGCTTATTCAAAAAATGCAAAAAATCCTAGGGTGGACCCTAGACTTTTGAGTCCGAAAAAAGTTGCGCATGGCCTCTCCTAACTACTACTGGGAGACCTAGCAGTTGATCCATTTACGTGTATGGTAGGCAACCAAGGATGAATCAGACGGAAAATACGTTGAGACACTCCCCGGAGTCCTCCTGTTTGATCACCTCCGGTGCCAGGTAGAAGTCTGACCCGCAAATGGAGGTCGACCTGCCAGCTTGTCTCGCGCCAGCCGAAAAAGACCATCAAACAATTCCAACTTACACATGACGCAAAAATTGCAACCCAACATCCGTGGAAATTCGTAAATCCCAACCTTTTTTTTTTATGGCTAGTTCGAGGGTCGAACTAGAAACTTCTCAGGCTCGATCTCGCGCGAGCTTACGCGCCAGAAAAGACGCGCGATCAGATCCCGAGTCAATGGTCCGAGGAGCTACTGGAAGAGGCACAGAAGCCCTCAACATGCAACGTGGATGGACCAAATCCTGCACCTCTTGGACACCAGTCTATTTGGGGGGGGTGATACGGTTGATATGGGGTCAAGATTAGCCAGTGATGAAATGATTGTTTGTTACGGTATTTACAGGGGAATCATGATTCCATGGTTTCTTGGGTGGTGCAGGATTTCGCTCATCCGCAACTCTCTTGACTAGGTCCTCCAGTAGAGAGGTTAGAATAAGGCTACCCTTTTTTCTGTAGTCTATTTCAGTAGGGGGACCCTCCCCAAAAAAGCGTAAAAGGGCACTACTGGGGGACCTAGTTGAGGAACCCTGAGTTGGCTGGGTGGTTAGCAACCCTAGCCACAACCCCAGCTTGTTTTACACGTGGACGAGCTACAACGCACATAAAAGTCCGGCAACTAGAGTTATCCAAGCAGGTCACAATCGAGTTTACTGAACATGGCTGTGTCTTAAATGCATCCACCCCGTCTGTGGCCGTCCGTTTGGTTTCCCGATACAACCACCCCAAAATGGGCAGCAAGTCCAACCAAAAAGGACCTAAAGGACAGGCAGAAACTTCATGTGTTGGACACATACTGTGGATGGACGAAATCCTGCACCACTAAGAAACAATGAAAGGATGATTCCCCTGTAAATACCAACAAAGAATGGTTTCAACCATGGCTTCAAAGTGGTGCAGGATTTCGTCCATCCACAGTAGGGACTCCTGGAGTGCATCCTTTTCGGGGTTCCAATCATGGACATCAAAGCCAATTCAGCGGTTGTCCCTGTTCCCCTAATGGGGAAACAACAATTTGGGTTGCGTCTTGCTGTTGAGGGTGGAAACCGGAGCCTGCCTCAGCCCCCGAAAAAGGCAACTCAGAGAGTGAGGACCTCCCCCTCAACTCTTTTTGGGGTTTCAAAGGTAAGCCAAGGAGAAACCGCCAGCTTTCTTGAGGGGTTCCAAAAAAACTTCTTGAGGGGTTCCAACAAAAAATATTTTGAGGGGTTCGAAAAACAACTTCTTGAGGGGTTCCAAAAAAACTTCTTGAGGGGTTCCAGATTCCCAAAAAACTTCTTGAGGGGTTCGAAGAAAACTTCTTGAGGGGTTCCAGATTCCCCAAAAGACTTCTTGAGGGGTTCCTCCAAAACGAGCTCACCAGCTAAAAAATCGGGGTCGCTCGCCGACTCCCCAGGCGCACCTGGGGAGTCTTCGAGGATAGTCTTTGGAAAGCCTCGGCGACTCGGGTGGGCGGGGCCCAGTGCCTTTGTGGTACACACCATATTCTTAAGCAATTGGAAGTATACAGGTGCTTCGAGGCTTAAAGGTGGGTTGTAAGTTAGTAAGGTGTCTGAGAAGACGATGTTCTTGAAGACCTGGTGCCTAACTCGAGATAAAAAATTGTGCTGTTCAACCCAACGAAAGGGAGGGCTGAAACTCCAGCCTGTCCGAAGCTTCCTTTCATCTTTCCCTCATGGCACTTGTTTGCTCTCGGTCTCGAGCGTAAATCTTTCGCTGATGAAATTTACCAAACCTAATTTACGCTCCAATTCCAAGGAGCGTGACTTTAAGAGCACGCGCCGTACGCAGCGGACGTCAAGCGACGCACAGGACTCTCACCCGAGTGAATGCTCCGCAAGTTGCCTGGCTTCCGAAAACTATGGAAGCCCATGGCCGGAATGAGTTGCCCTCTTTCATCTGAAGGCATCCGTGGGGGAACCTTAAACAAAAATATGGAAGAAGATTGAACCAAAATATGGAGTGAGTTGGGTGACTTTCATCTGAAGGCATCCGTGCGGAAAACCTTGACCTTGGCCATGCGGCTTGTTGGCCAAGACTTAGACAGGTTTGGGTGGGAAAGATGTCGCAGCTCCCCTGGAGAAGAAAACAACTAGACATCCGTACCAAAGGACACGGCTGGGAACCGCCAAGAGTAGGCAATCGAGGCGAGACCCCGCACTCCACTTCCTGAAGCAAGGCCCAGGTGACCACCAAAATTTGAGGTGCTTCTCATTTTGCATGAACCAAGTCTGGCTTGCTGTTGACCCCCCTACAAAAGGTTCAACTTTTTGTGGGTACGTAGAGCGGAAAACCGTTTGATTTCCCAAAAAGTTAAAGTCTAAAGATCCAGCCCAATAGCAGTCAAGAAGTGTCCCTGACACCCCGATCGAGAACCAGTGCGCCGATTCTATGAGCAGGTAGTCCATTGCGTCCGAATGGCAGATTGAGAAACGACACATCCGTATCTTTTGTTAGGAAGCCCCTTTTTGATTGGTGGAAGGAAAACTCAAAAAGAAGCCAACCTTTGTCTTGCTGATGCGCAGCAGGGAATGAGACATGGAATGACCCTGATAAACCGTCCAACTGGAGGTTTGTTAGGGCCCGGATTCCCGACCTTTCGCACCAGCAAGTGGTTCATTCCCAGATTCCCCACCTATCGCACCTGCCGGTTTTCGGGAGCACAGCCCGGGTGTTCGGAGAACCGCCCGGTTTTCACACCTAGGGAGCCCGAGCTTGGCGAGACCGAAGTCCGAGACCTTGATGTCGGTGTTGCTGACCTGCGGACGTTGATTTGATTTTTGGTTTTCTCCCTGGGACCAACGTGTCGGCGACCTGCCCCAAGATGAAAGAAAGCTGGGGGTAGGTGGGGTGGTTGGGGGGGTTTTAGGGTGGGGGGGAGGGTGGAGATCAACGGGAATTTAGAACTATGCCCAGATTTCCATGGGAAAGAAAGGGCATCCGTTCTTGACTTTCAAGGGGAACCCTTCCCAAAACAAAAAGAAGAAAGGGTACCACTGGGCAACTGGGAAAACAAAGGCCTCCCTGTGGATGGTTGCGAGCTATTTCTCCCGGGGGGAGATAGGGGGGGCGTTGAAACCCATGATGTTTGTCACATGACCTCAACTTTTGCCCCCCAACCCAAAAAAATATTCTAGGTCCTCCAGTAGAGAGGTTAGAATAAGGCTACCCTTTTTTCTGTAGTCTATTTTAGTGGGGGAACCCTCCCCCAAAAAAGAAACGGTAAAAGGGCACTACTGGGGGACCTAGCCGCTTCTCGTCCCGCACCACCGAACTCAGAAGCCCAAAGGAATGATGAACGAATCCCCAACGCAAATACCATCAAACGTTCTTGAGCGCAAAAGCGCCTCCTGGAACCCCCAAAGGATCAGCTTCCCTCTAATTGGTAACCCCCGAAGGCGTTGTTGGCCACTGACTCACTTGCTGAGTGGATGGCCCAAAAAAGTCCAAACTTTATATTTGCCACTAAGATGGTCTTCCCAAAAAGTTTAAAGTTTATGCACTCAGGAAGTGAGCTGAGATTTATGCTTTCTGGGGATCTGTGGGAACGTGTTTCATAGGCCTGCATTTGTAAACCAACGTGTCCGAAAGCTTGAAACCAAGATTTTTGTCGGGGCCTTCATCATGAGCTTGCGTTTTGTCACTTGCAACGAATCAGGCAGTGCATATGGGAACCCAGCATGAACAAACACATGGTTGATTGATGGGCGATGTAAACGGGAATCCTTGACTTTGAGATTTGGAACACCAGGCTCCCTACTCTGGATGGACGAAATTCTGCACCACCTGAGAAACCCTGGGAAACCACATCGTCGAGTTTCTCCTCGGTGGGGCGAAATGGTTTTCGTTCATCCACAGTATTAACTGGGGAGCAAGCAATAAAGATGGAAATATTTTAAGTGAAACAAGACAATATGAAATAAGATACCAAATGAAAGACAAGTCAAGAGAAACTAACAATAAAGAAAAGACTGATAAAAGGATACAATGCAAAATAATATACCCAAAATGTAAAATAAAGAGATGACAAAAGGGAAAGTGACAGATGGCTAACCCGCCAGTCAAGTCCTTTCTGTATAAGCCTTCCCCCTTCGATGGAACGCAAGGGGGTGCAATCTCTCGTTACCATCGCTCGGTCGCTTGTTCGCTCGTTTTCCCCTACTCCTCCAGGGAATGCCTCATTTTTCCTGGGGGGACACACACCGCCCACTGGGAATCCTGCCCTCTTTGGGGTGCTTCAGCATCCCCCAATGAAATCCACTCAGAGTGGATGAACACAGGAATCCTGCGTGTCGTCTCAAAATCTGGGGGCTGCAAATCGCTCAACTTCCTTTTGGTTTCTGCTTACAACCAAAGGGGGTTGCCCCAAAAAAAATCGGACCCACATTGCCCAGGGGCTCCAGTGGCTGAAAAACCCACGCCTTGCTGACCAACAAGATGTTCTCCTCGCGTGAGGCGAGCTGGAAGGAAAACAGACTCCACTCAGTTCTCAAGCTCACTTCCGATCGAGTGGATGGCCAAAAAAACAAACAAACTGTTCATTTGCCACCATGGTCTTCCCAAAAAGTTGGAAGGCCAAGAACGCAGGAAGTGTGAGCAAGAGGACTCCGTCAAAGTGATTTGGCCGCTGGTATTGGTGATTTGAATCTGGCTCCCGAGAAGAGACAACACATTTGTCATAGGATTCCAACTCTCACACACACAAGACACAAAACACATACACATACACAAACACATTCACACACACACACACACGCACGCACGCACGCACGCACGCACGCACGCACGCACGCACGCACGCACGCACGCACGCACGCACGCACGCACGCACGCACGCACGCACGCACGCACGCACGCACGCACGCACGCACGCACGCACGCACGCACGCACGCACGCACGCACGCACGCACGCACGCACACACACACACACACACACACACACACACACACACACACACACACACACACACACACACACACACACACACACACACACACACACACACACACACACACACACACACACACACACACACACCCACCCACCCACCCACCCACGCACGCACGCACGCACACACGCACGCAAGGACGCACGCACCCACACACACACACACACCTGATGAGGCAAACAGGTGTGGAGTTGGGGGGGGTGTTGAATCCCACGTGTTTCACCCCAGTTTCCAATTTGGTGAGTGACCGAATGTAACCTCCTTTACTTCAAAAAAAGATCCCAGTTTCTATTCGCAGTTGACCGAGCGTTGCGGAATTTGTAGGGGAACTGCATCCCATCCCATGTCGCACTTCAAAAAACCCGCTCCAACCAGCTGCCCAATGACCCTGATAGAAAGAACATGGGAACTTGGGTTTTAAAGTGACCGCCCAAGTTGCAGAGATTGTCATGATTACCGCCATACTGGGTTTGGGAATGAACCGAAATGGGATTCTCCGAAACCAAAAGAAAAAAGGTTTAGAGGGATCATTCCAACTCGCTCCCTATCGAACCAGCAAGTAACCTCCATTTGCTTCGATTCCCTAAGAAAAAAAACAACAGGGGAATGTGAAGCATGTTCTTTGCCAAATCGAAGCCAAGGTTGTCACACCGTCATGGTGTGGTGCCCTTTTTTGCTCCTCAAACCTGTCTTTGCCCCCTAGACCAAAAGGTGCCTAGGTCCTCCAGTAGAGAGCTTAGAATAAGGGTACCAACTTTTTTCTGTAGTCGAATTTAGTAGGGGAACCCTCCATACCAAAAAAGGGGCGAGAAAGGGCACCACTGGGGGACCAAAAGGTGCAAAAAGGGGTTCAACCAAACACCCAAGCTGAAGGAAACAGGACCGCCTGCCCAATCAGGACACGTGCGCTATGATGAACTCGCCAAACTGAAGGCATCGGACTCCCGCCGTCTGCGAGCTCGTTTTACCCCATCGCTGCGATAAAGCACACGAAACACAAAACACGTGAGCTCTTTCTACCCACCGCTGCACCCACTTAAAAAAGGAAAGGAAGAAGAAGAAAAAAACAAAAAACACATCCGCGCAGAGTGAGTCCGACCAAAATCCACCGCCGAGGGTCCGGTTTCAGGTCTCTGTGCATGATGCCCTTGCTGTGGATGAAGGAAACCGCCTGCTGCAAGAGAACCGTGGATGGACCAATCGTAAAGACGGAAACCGCTAAACCAACCAAAACCACAAAAAAACACCTGCCTAAGCCTGTGTACACCCTGGGTTTAAGGGCTCGTCTTTGACTTTCTGGTGTTTTTCCTCAGAGTTTGTGGATGACAAGTCCCACAAACCATGTATTTGTCTTGGGCTTGAAGGACTACCTGGACCCTCAAACTTCCAACTTAAAAATGGGGCGCAGTGCAACCCATTATGGAATGGGTGAATTCCCATTCTTTCTGGGTAGTTTCTAGATTCAGGTCACCAAGCTTGTTTGCCAAAAACATCATCCAAAAGAGTGAACCAATTCACTATGGAGGGCCCAGGCTTAGCACCGACCGGCTTTCGAGGTCTTTCTCGATATGCATGAGGCGCTTTATGGGGAAAACCACTTGCGCGTGTCTTGAGGCTACCCTGGGCTTGGTGTTCAACAGGAAACCCAAAGGAACACCACAATTGCGGGGGAGCCGGGGGGGGATTTTAATTCAGAGGGTAGGTGCAGGAGGAAGACATGGGTGCATCCTAAGAATGGGCGCACGTTTTGTTTTGCGGGGTAACAAGAACGCCGGATTGGTTTAATAGGAGGGTGTCCCTTCTAGCGGGGATTCACCACTTTTGCAGGGGAATACGCCCTAGTGGACGAAATCCCGAACCACCTAAGAAACCGTGGAATGATATGCCTGTAAACACCAACAAAGCTTCTGGTTACAGGTTTCATTAACCCTGGTTTCGAGGCTCGCAGATGACTCGCATCCACTGTTTGGGTGGTGTCCCTAATCTCCTCACGTACTCCCCTGAGGATCCCTCACAAAAATGCTCCCACCTGGGCTGTCCTCAGATCCCCCGCTCAAAGTGACTAACTTTTAGTGGGTTAAACGGAAACCCCCACAAAACACATTAGGCTAAAAACAAAATACGGGGATGGCTGGGAGCCACCAAGCCATGATGTTTGTTTCCTTTTCGGTGATTTCTTTCTTTGGCGGAGCCAAAGGAAACCGCCCGTATTGGGATGGTTTTCCGAATTTTGTGAGACACATCTGCCCGAGAAACCAAAAGCAACCAAACCCCTAGGGAAACGTAGGCCAAAACCTGGCAAAGAAAAACACATCCTAGACCGCGCCTACCTTGAAGGGGGAGGGAAGAGGGGATCCAATCCGCCACTTTTGGAGCGTTCCCCGTAGGGGAAATACAACCATCCAGGGGTCGAAGTCCCCGCTCCCCTAGTTCCATTTGTAAGAATCTTGCAGTGGTAAGGGCCCACAGCCCGCCCAACCAGGGGCCCCTATTGGGCACAGGTCGCTGGATTTCCCCGATCAATGCAAGCCTGGTTTCTATTCAAACGATTGCCACTTTTGGAGGTTCCAAAAAGAGAAATGGGGGAAACCCTGGACCATCCTGGACCCCAACATACCCTAGCACTATTGACCATGTGTTTCTCTAGCCCTTAGGGTTGGCGAATCGGCCCCTTGGGCCCCTTCACAACCATAACGCAGCAACACAGGCTGGAAAAACAACTCTTCCAATTACCACTACTATGCTTACTTCTAGGTTTACCTGATGCTCCCTGATGACCTATTATAATGTTAGCCTGGGCCTCTCTCCGCTAAAGAGTCTGTCTTCAGACATGTGGACCAAAAACAGGAACATCAAAAAGGGGGTGCCCCAAGAGCTTTCGCCAAATGGGAAACCCTAGAACGGTTGGTTCATTTGGTTTGCCCGTCAAATACCTGGATGTTCGTTGCCAAGTCAGGAAATGGCTAGCCACCTGGGTTACAACCAACTAACAGCACACCAAATCAACGTCAGATCCGGTCCACTTGCTGGCAAGCACAAGCCCCCAATTTCACGAAGCTAAGTGCAAGCAAAAGAAACCCACGCAAATCGGGTAACCCAAAACCGTGGTTTCGCTCTAGCTTCCCTGTGACCACAACCACCAAATGGGTACCCCCAGAAGGAAACACACCCAGGCATCGACGTTGCATACCATTTGTAAAGACCCCACACTGCCGGAATGATACCCATGTAAGCTTTACCAAAACCCATACCTAACCTTCCCAAACTCTGGAAATTATGCTGGAAAGAGACCTTTCTCTTTGCAGCCCACCTTCAAACGAAAGAACCAAAAAGCAGAACAAACTAAACATGCCAACAACGCCGTGACGAACTGTTCGGCTGGATAAAAAGTGAAGCATTGCCTCCAAAATGGGACGTCGTCGCCTACCGTGAATGAACAAAGTCCTGCACCAATCGCTGAGGGGCGTTTGAAGTGCAGGACAGGATTCCGACTCTACAACGATAGACTCCCCATATGGGTGTGTTTCAAAATATGGGAACCCAATGTTTGGGTGGTTCTAATTTTGGTGTCCCTGAAAAAACAAAAGCAACAAGAGCGCCCTCAAAAGAAACACTGCCGGAGTGGATGAGCCAAACGAGCTCAAAAAAAAATGTTTGCTTCTAGAATGGTCCTCTCGCAAAGCTTAAAGTCCAGGAACTCAGGGAGTGAGAAACACATGCCCATATGCACCAAGGGGTCCAATGATACTGTGGATGGACGAAAGCCTGCACCACCTAAGAAACCCTGGAATGGTGGGTTCGATTCCCTTGTACATACCAACAAACAATTGTTTCAACCGTGGTTTCATTTCGTGGTCCTTCACACCGCACCTCCTTAACACGGTTGACCAAGCTTTGATCCGAATCAGGACTTCCATCTCTGGGCTGCCCTCAGATCCCCCGCTAAAAGTTTAACTTTTAGTGGGTTAAATGGCAACTACCACTAAGGGGATGAGCTGGGAGCCACCAAGATCTGCCGGAGTAAGTTAATGATAACACAAATTCTGCGTTCAGGAACGACGCCGGCTTTTCGAACTTGACTTCCGCAGGCTGAAAACGACACCAGGCTTGAGGAGCGCTTCTGAAGCAACTGCTAGCCATGCTCGGCCAAAGGCTCACTTCGCAACCATCCACAGCTGGCTCCTCCAGATTTGAGAGGTTAGAATAAGTTGGTGCCCGATTGTTTTTCTAGCTGGGGGACCTAGAAAGTACAACATTCCAACACCCCCCGCTCCCCCAACTTTCAAGCCAGCTGCCTCCAGAAGGTTCCTCACCAGCATCTTGGTGTCCGACTCCTGGCGGAAGTGTCTGCTCGACCCAAAAACCAAAACTGGCGCGGTGGAAACCGAAATCCTCTGGTTTCATCTTACACGGGAGGGTACGATTGCATCACCCCCTCCTCCCCAAAAAAAGAAAGAAGAAACATGTCTTGGAGTTCCATGCCTGACATGGGGTTGGGTAAGATGACATGCGCCATGGTCAAAATCCTTTCTTGGTTCCCTTAATAGACCTTAACGGTCGTGGATCCTTCTACCAGGTGGATGACCATGCCTAACCCCTAGTGAACGGGTCTTTTGACCAGTCACCAAGGAACTCAAAAATATCAAATTGGCAGGTGACAAAATTAAACTAGCCATTTGAGGGAAGACAGGCATCACTAAATTCCCCCCTCAAAGGTTCAATTTAATTGTGTTTCCAATAACACTGCCACTGTTGGAGTCCAAAAAGGGAGGTTGAGGAAACCCTAGAAGATGCTAGTTTAATGTTGACCTCTGATTAATACCCCGTTTTCAGAACAACTACCCCCCCCCCCCTTCAGCCCCAAATACTGCAGCACGAAAGCACGATGAGCACCTGCCCATTGAGTAGGCTCCTCGCACCAATCAGGCTGCTGATAAACTACCCCACTCTAGCTCCTCCAGTAGAGAGGTTAGAATAAGGGTTCTAACTTGTTTTTTTTTTGTAGTCTATTTTAGTAGGGGTATTCCTCCCAACCAAAAAGAATCGGTAAGAGGACGGGCACCAATTGCTGGGGCACCTAGCACTGCCTTTCGACCAGCGTGAGAGGCCCGGTCCGGCGTCCGCTTCTTCGGGCCGGCCCCCTCGCTGTTCCGTTGGCCTTTGCGCATCTTAGCCATCGATGTGCCGAGCAGCCACGAGCTGCTTGATGTCAAGGCAAATCAGATGGGGGTTGTCCTATATTTCTTTGCCCGGGATTGGGTCCTTGGGCGATAAATAAAACCGAATACTGGGGTTTTAGGACGGCCCTCAGATGGACTTCTGCCCGCAGATTGGCCTTGACATCAAGCAGCTCGTGGCGGCTCGGCACATCCATGGCTCAGATGCGCGCCAGGCCAACGGAACAGCGAGGGCTCGGCAGCCGCGAGCCGCGAGCGTGGGCCGAAGCCCACCGCCATGTCTCGGGAAGAAACCTGCGGCCCTCTGGGCCAATACCTCGAAGGGGCCATGGCCAAAAAGGACCCAAAAACGTGCTTGGTAAACATTCCGGGGCCATGTTGATCCCAGAAAGAATCAACCACCCGGTCTATGAAAATCTGGGGGGCCCTCCAAAAGTGGTCTGATTCTCCACTAAACCCAAAAAAACACCTCCCTAGAAATAAGCTGGGGTTGATTCATAGGGGGTCAGCATTAGACCCTAAAACCACCTGTAAAAAAGTTGGAATTCACCCGCCATAAGGGTCATTCCTGTCGTGTACTTCCAGATGAAAATCCAATGGCTTCTCGCCAGATCGGGCGCTCGGGTTCCATGCGGGCGCCGTTGCAACTAGACAATTTTCTGCTGCTAGACATCATCTGACCAACCTACTTCGACATGAACCCCCAAAGGAACCCCTGAACCATCAAACTGCGAAGTGATTTCACCCCACAACTTTACAAATTTGGGGCAATCGCCCACCTTTAAGCTGGAACTTTGCACGTGGCCCACGTGTTAATGGGCTCGTGCAAACTGGCAAACACATCAGCGCAACGAGACCCGCTCGCTCGCTTTGCCAAGCTGGGGAAGCCCGGTGAACACTTTTAGCTGCCCGTTTTCTGATCCCCCGCCTAAAAGTGGACAACTTCTCGTGGGCGAAAAACGGGAAGTCCGACCAAACACGAAAAAGCTAAAAGGCTACTGCGGGAGCCACCGAGAAAACTCGGCTGCTTTCTGCTCCCCTGCTAAAAGTTTAACTTTTGGTGGTTTAATGGAAAACCCATGAGTTGGCAAAAAGTTAAAGTCCTAACATCCCTTGGCAAAATGCACCAAAGAAAACATGCCCGGCGCACCGAGTAGAAACGCTTCTGCTGAATGCGGTCATACCTAGGCGAGCTCTCGAGCTCGATTTCAGGGGGTCGCTTGGCCTGGAAACCTTAGCCTCCATTTGCGAATACGCCCCCAGTAAAAAACCAAAATTATCCACCTGGAGTCTCCATGACCCTTAAAAAATGGTTGGTCATTGCCCAAAATAAAGGGGTCATGGACCCATTTTTAAAGGGTCATGGAGACTCCAGGCAATAGTAATAGATTCCCTTTAAAATCAACAGTGAAAAATAAAACATATTCCTAAGCAAATGGAAGTTTGGGTCTGGAAACCTTACGTTGGAAGGGGGGCGTTTAAGGGCGGGCGCAAACACGGCCACCAAAAAAAACTCGCCAACTTCCTTGAGCCAAGTTCACCCGCCCGGCTCTCGATGCATGGTGCCAACTACGAAGTCGAACTGAAAGTTGACCAACGTATCGTCATAGCCACGTTGCTCGCAGGATCCACTTGGGGAACCGCTTACCACACCCCAGTGAGGTTTCATGGCAACGTGGGAAGGCATTTTCCGTGGCGTGATTCCTAGATGATTTGTCTGATGGCCAGTCTGTATGACTTTGCAAACTCCATTTCGCACCGTTCAGAAACCCTCAAAAATCCCCCTGCAAATACCAACCTATTGGCTTCCCAGGGTTTTGATCACGGCCTAAATGAGTTTCTACCTAAACCCATTGCCCCAACATGACTTATTTACTTTTTATGTTATTCTTTTTAGAATGGTGAAATCCCTTTTTATGGATAGCTTGAGGGTTCAGGTATCCTTTTCTCCATCCATACATCTCAGGAAACAAAAGAAGGATATAGGATGAAGGGAATGAGAGACTGTTGACTCCCGTCCGTGCCCTCGATCCTGTCTCTAGGAGTTAATCTCATGCCTGCCCTCTCTTTGCTGGAGAATAATGGCATGAGATTCCTTCCCTTTCTCCCTTTCATTCGTCTCTCTGGGACATCTGATGCAAGGCATAAAAAGGCTTGGGAAAGGAATGGGTGGCGAGAGATAGGGACGAGCCATCATACTGTGGATGGACAAAGTTCTGCACCACCTAAGAAATCTGGAGTGATGACTCTTCTGCAAACACCAACACATACTGACTTCCAGTGGTTTCAAAGTGGTGCAGGATTTTGTCCATGCACAGTATGATTATTTTTCCGGCAGAAATCTCCTGACTATACGCTGTGTCTACAGGCGAGTCTCTGTGAGCGAGACTGCGAGCGGAAAGGAACGAGAAGGAAGCTCTCATCTTGGTTCGTCTCTATTCCTAGGTCCTCCAGTACAGAGGTTAGAATAAGGGTACCCTTTTTTTCTGTAGTCTATTTTTGTTGTGGGACCCTCCCCCAAGAAAGGGCAAAAGGGCACTACTGGACCTAGATTCCTTCTCCTAACATGGAAGCTCCCAGGACCGGGGTGAGTGGCAATTACAAACCTTCGAACAAGCCCGAGGGCACGGCGGATGCCCTAAATATTGCAAAGGAGCAAGGGACACCCTGTAAATTCCCATGGCTTGTGTTTGGTTTACTTGCAATATTTAGGGCATCCACCGTACCACTCACAACAAAAGGAAGCCACACCCCGCATATCCAGCTGCGGGATTCTCGCGAGAAATTACGCGGTCGGTCCGTCAGGTCCAAGCTGCAAAACCTGCAAAGGGCCAAGTCTCGGTTGAAACGAAATGCGCAGGGATCCTCCCCCCCCACCCGGCCACCCCCCCCCCCAAAAAAAAATAATAATAGAGGAAGGCGGTTAAGGGTTAGCAAGCCTGAAGGCCTAAGGCAAAATGAGGCCGTAACAGTTGGAGGATGATCAACGCCACCAGGCAACCACGAACGCTATTTACCACTTCGATTGCTTGGCCCAGGGTTCGTGCCAGAATGCTTGGTACCCCTAGTTATCAGAGTTTGGAAGGGGGCCAAGCAACTGGCCCGGGGTTTATGTACAAACAACGAGAAACGGCTAGCCAATGCGAACACCCCTTCCTACTTGGATGTCCAGCTTTGGGTTTAACTTATAACCCACGAAAACCCCTTACGGGGGCTTGTGAGCGGGTTGCAATATCCTACTAGGTTGCCAACAACTTTCGAGGGGTGAATTGTTCATTATCGTTCTTTTCAAAACTGGCGTCCCTGGGTGCAAAAACCACCTCCAGAACACCCAAGTAACCCAAGTTGAAAGGATTTTGCTTTGATCGCCTAACGGAGTGTCCGGACCAACCTTACTCGTGCTCAGCAGGGAATGAGAAATGGAATGAGCCCGGTTTTCTTCGGTTTCCTTAGAAGGGGACCCCGGAACGGTTCATTCCACTTCACATTCCCTACCTACCGCACCCATCGCAACGCCACTCCACTCCACTCCACTCCACTCGCCAAGTCGCAACTCGCCTCCCTCGCAGAGTTCCAGAACCTGTCCGACGCAACTCGACGGAAATCGGCGTCTCGGAATTGGTCGCTTCGAATGAGTGGTTGGTTGATGGACCCGAACAATAGTCCCCAAAAAAATTGGAGATGCTATTGCAACCCAACATTGTGGAATTGGTGGATTCTTTCTATGGGTAACTTAATGGTCCAGGTCGAAGTAAAAAGAGGTTTCAGTACCTCCCTAGACAGTTCTTGGACCCTTTAGGCAACTGTTCGCGGACTGTTTTGCCCCAAAAGGTGATGCTGAAAAAGCAGGCATTCAAGAGAAACATCTGCACCTAGACAGAAGGGGAACCAGAAGGTGATGTTTGAAACCGGCCAACCATGGGGAAAAATATGCATGAGGTTGAATTCGGGGCTGCATCACATGGGGATTTATATGTCCACTAGCCATGCTTAAGAGCCTTCCCCAACATTTATGGTCAATACAGAGTGCCTGACATTCTGACCGGATACCAACCACCGCCTGCTGCAAAAAAAAAATCGGTTCGGGGTGCCTTTTCCGCCGGCCCAGCCCCAAAACAGGGACCCGGGAGAGATGTGGCTGAGGTCAGCACCAGGCGAATGGTGTTGCCGCTGGACTCGTCCATGTCCACCAGGCGAATGATGCTGGGGTGATGGTCTATCGCCTCAACTTGCAGGGCCTAAGAGACGTCTCCAATCAAAGCCCCCCTACTGCCGATGGCTGCGAAATCCAGCAATCGCACCACCCTTCAGACTCCCTGGAATGATATGATTCCCCGGTAGCCAGGAAACAATGGTTTCCGGTGGTTTCAGAGTGGGTCGAAATGGATTTCGTCCACAGTATTTTGAGGGCTTGGGATTGGTTGTGGGGCGTTGCCCCAAACCACCAATCCTAGCACAAAACTTGCATAACCACCACATCCCTGAAGCAACTCGGGTTAAAGGGAAACTAAAGGGACATACAATTTTGAGGGGGCAACAAGAGAGAAGGCAACAAGGCTTTCCTGTACTGTGGGGGGAGGGGCATGTCACGTTTCTTTATGCTCAGACTCGGTGCATTGAAGGCACTTGCGGCTTGGAAGCACGGCAGCGGGACCTACTGTGGACGGTTGCGAAGACCCGGTTCGCACCTGAGCCCCCAACGTAAATACCGATGGCTTTCCATGGTTTCTTAGGTGGTGCGAAATGGATTTCCTCCATCCACACTGCCATCTAGGTCCTCCAGTAGAGGTTGGAATCAGGGTACCAACTTTTTTCGGTTGTCTATTTTAGTAGGGGAACCCTCCCCCAAAAAAGGTGAGAAAGGGCACCTAGCTGTGGGACCTAGCCATTGTTGTTCGTCAATAGGCTCCAAATTCAATCAAGGGGGTCGGTATCACAGAAACCTGCCCTCCCTCTTGACGCCATGGCGCCTGAAAGAGAGTCCCTTGAGGAAAATGCGATCTTGCAGGTATCCTTCTAGGGGTTGATTCCTTCCAACCATTCCTTTCAGCCATCCTTCTTTTCAAGAAAACCGGATGGCCATTTTCCCAAAAACGGCTTTGGGTGCTTTTTTCCAGAAAGATAAACGGATCCCTGGAAAGAATGGGGAAATGGAAGGTACCCCTAGAACCCTCCCAAAAAAATGCCCCTTCTGTTCGTGGGAGGGGCTTAACCCCAAGGCCCCCTCCAGTAAAGGTTGCTGATTCGTCCGGAGAAAAAATACGAACCGTCCAGTGAAAGCGATTCCCTGCAAAACCAGGGGCAAAGAAAAGGAAAAGGAATGCCCGTTTTAGCACACGGAGTGAGAAATCGATGCCCTTTAGACCAGGAGAAAATCAAAAAAGAACGTCCATTTCAGCAAATGGAGTGAATTCGATTCCCTGTGAACCGGGGGAAAATAAAAAGAACGTCCATTTCAGCAACTGGAAGTTAAGACACGGTGGGGGCAACACTCCTGCAACTTTGGGATGCTTCTCTTTTGGCCAAAGCACCTGGAAGTAAATGAATCACATAATGAAATTTCCAGTGATAGATTCCCTTTGAAACCACGGAGAAACAAAAAGGATATCCATTTCAGCAAATCGAACCCTGGGAAAAAACATATTGCCGATAGTGAAGTCGATTTCCTTTAAAACCAGCGGAAAATAGCAAGAACGCCCATTTCAGAAAAAATATGGGGTGAGTTCTCTTTTGGATGGTAGTTTGAGGGTCCAGGTACTTGGTCTTAAAGGGAAACACCCCCCAAACAATTCCATTTCGTCCATTTGCTCAATCAAGTCCCATGGAAAAACAATATATTTCCAGTAGTGAAATCGATTCCCTTGAACACCAACAAGCAAATGGGTGTCCAGTAGTGAAATCGATTCCCCCAAATGGAAGATTTGCTTAAGCCCCCGAACCAAGCCGTCTCACCCCCCGTCTCAGCGCCCCGTCTCTCATGATGGCAATCTCCTCGTAGATCCGCGCCAGCGATGCGTTGTCCCCCGTGTACGTGGAGATCGCCTTGGGCGAGATGAGGCCCAGAGACAAAGCGGTGGAACCCCAGTTCCCCTCAGGTTTTGTGGTTGACAACACGGATAAAGTGGTGTAAACCCTGCGTCGCTTTGGAGCGGGCTAGTAGTCCCCTGTACGTACATGACACTAGCAGCCATTGCGCCCTGACTGCGTAAGAGCTGAAGCACAGCGGCGAGGCGGAACCTATCTACGTTTGGTTTTTGTTTATCCAAGTTCGATTCCATCTGACATACCTGTCCTGGGTTTTAAAGGACGCTTCTTTGATTTCCTGGTGGCTGTTCAGAAAAAAGTGGTTGACAAGTCCCATAAACCGTGGGTTTGAAGAACTCTTGGGCTTGAAGGACTACCTGCAGCCTCATAAACTTCCCTGCCTTGAACATGGGAAGTATTGCAACCCCCAAATTCGTGGAATGGGGCGATTGCCAACTTTTTGGGTAGTTGAGGGTCCAGGTATTCTTTGATTTCCTGGTGGCCTCCCTTGAAAACCAAAACGGTTGGGCTCCCCCCCCCAAACCAAGATTGGGCCAAACCACTGTTAGCAACCTCCTTTTGTTGTCAATCTAAAGGAGATCGTTGGTTGAAACAAACTGTGCCCAACGGGCTGCCACGAACCACTTCCCCAATCTGAATTCAGAAGTCCCGAACCTGCACCATGGGATCCCAGCCACTTTTTTGGCTCTCGGATGGGTGAGTCCGCGTCACAAATTGTGCAGCACCACAAAGGGGAGGTTGATCAAATTTTCTGGCCCCCGGCTATGACCACGGGCAACCTTTCCCATGTGGGACATATCATCTGTTTACTGGGCTGCCCGATTTCAGATCCCCCGCCAAAAGTGGACAACTTCTAGTAGGTTAAATTCGGAAACTACCACTAAGCACTAAAAAGCTAAGAGGCTAAGGGAAGGGATGGCTGGGGAATCGCCACCAAGCTTCGTGGGTTTTCCCCCAATGCTCATCCATGCTCATCGGACCTTTTGATCAACCATTGGATATTTGGACCCTGCCACATGGGTCCTTCAGGTCCAGGGCACCCGCATGCTCGCAGCTGGGGTCTCTGGGCTCTACGTTTAAAAGCTGCAACTTGCGGGTGAAGTGGACACGTCACCGCAACTTTCCGACAAAACGGCTGTGTGGATGAAAACAGCAAACACGTCCCACATTTTCTGGGGGGAAACCCAGGTCCAAGTGAGTGAGTCTCCCACGACTTGCGCCAAAAAACAGGGTCCCATGTTTGGACATGGACTTCAAACCCAAGGACCGGGGTTAATTTCTCCGAAAGCAAAGCCCGTGCGTTGCAGACTACTTTCTTCCATTTGCTGAAGCGCCCAGGAAAACAAAATGAGAAAATATGTCCAGTGATAGATTCCCTTCCAAACCAACCATGGAGAATTAAACAGATGTGGCCATGGGTCAAAAGCCCTTACCCCCAGTGAACATCCCAATCCCCACTGAAATAGACTAAAATGGGTGATGCACCTACCCCAAAATGGAATCCCATTGGTTTTGACCCACATCCATATTCATTTCAGCCACTTCGGAGGCGGGGCGACTCGAAAAATTGGAGCCAAAGATGTTCCGCGCCTTGAGGGCGAAGCGCCGCTCCGGGTGGTTCCGGCGCTGGCAGAGGTACACCGTGGAGAACTTGCCCGTGCCCAAGACGTTGCCCTGGCGCTTCGATCCCAAACCTCCATTTGCGAATACGCCCCCCGGAAAAAAATAAAAAAACACTGTGGATGGACAAAACCCTGCACCACTTTGAAACCATGGGAAAACATTGTTTGTTGGTATTTACAGGGAAACCATCATTCCAGGGTTTGTTAGGTGGTGCAGGATTTCGTCCATCCACAGTATGTCCAGTAGTGATAGATTCCCTTTAAAACCAAGAGGGGAAATAAGATTTTTTCTTAACCAAATGGAAGCAAAGCGTTTGGCTATGGAACCCCAGCCGGGGTTGGCGGGCGGGGTTCCTTAAGGGAACTCTCTGTTTCAAAGGGGGGGAATGACGCGTTTGGGTATGCAATCCCATGGGGGGGGGGGGTACAAGGGGGAATGAACCATTTGGAAAATAAAATCGCATCGAAAAGAGTGGTTGATTCAAGATATATACAGAATGGCATGCAAGTCCGTTGTCCCATAAACGCAGACCCTCGCTCTCCCTCTGAACTGCGGTGATCCACCGGATTCAGGCCAAAATCATTTGCCGGCTGTTCAACGTTTGCTTGTCCAAGTTGATGTTGCTTCTGGCTACTTTGCCCATGGGAAAAGTCCGCGTGCACGCCAACAACCCCCCGCCCCCCAGAAGAAAATGATTCCACGAGAAAAGGTTCTTAGACAGGTGGAGCTTACACCCTGAGACCCAAAGCCAGCGGTCTCGAATACGCTCGACCCAAAGAAGGCCCTCTTAAAAAAGCCATGCGAGCCGGGCCAAACAAAGCCAAGAGTGCGAGCTCCTTGGGGTCTTTTGGGGGAGACCTTCTTTTCTGCGCTAGAAATCCAAACAAGAAGGGGCTTCAAAGACTGAAATTCACCGGAAAGTGTATTCGACACAAGTGGAATGCCCCCAAAGATAACAGTGTACAATGTACACAGAGGGTAGGAAAGCCCAAAGGGCTACTTCCTCCAAACCCCTCGAACATTGTACCCCCCAGCAGTTGGGTCCTTGAGGCGGAAAGGTTCGGGCATGTGAGCCACAGTCAGAATTACTTGTTTCCCTAATTCGGACATGGGCAAAATCTTGGCGGTCCCCCTGGTTGTTGTGGGCTGCTTCTTCAGCTTGTCCCCATGTCCCTCCCAAAGAGGGACCGTCACATCCGGGAATTTTTGGACCAAACCATGGGTATGTTTGGTTGACGTTGGGTTTGGGGAGCAAAAATTCTCAAATTTTAGCAGCTAAGTGGAGTTGGATTTCAACCACTAAACCACAATGAGCAAAAATGTGTCCAATGTTTCCCAACAACAACCATGTATGGGGCAATGGTGGTTGCCCCGGTGCCCCTTCAGTTGAAAAATCGACTCCAAGGTGGAGGGAGACCAAAAGGCAAGCCTCTTTAGCCAAGTCCCCCTCTCCCAGATCCGGTTGTAGCAGCCAAGCATCCATTTTCCTTTTGGCGAGATGAAAGTGTACCTGGACCCTCAAGATTCCAACTTAAAGACGTGATGGAATCGGGTAAATTCCAACTTTTGCAGAGAATCTGGCTCCCCGAACCCTCAAACTACCCATCAAAAAGTCGGAACTCACACGGTTTCATGAAGTTTGAGTTGCAATTTGCCCCCATGATTTAGACGGGATTTGTGCTTACGCAAGTGCGTACGCCGGCTTACGCCGTGCAGGGCTTTGCTTAGCTGCTCAGTTGTTTTTTTTCCCCCAGGTTCAAGGGTTTTAGAGCTGATCAGTTGGAGTTGTGTTGGATTTCACCAAGCCCATCACGTCTGGACTTTTGAGGCTCCTTAGTGGCTTCTCTTGGTAACCCACGAGGCAAGAAAGGGACCCGTGTGGGGCAGCCCATCGCGGGAAGCCAAGGAACCGGTATGAAGAAGGGGTATGTACTTCCCCTGGATCTTGGTATACGAGGAAAATCAGGGCTGCGGGAAACGAAAACAAACAGACCTGTATGGCAAGTGGTTTTCTGGTACTGGCATGGCAAGTGGTTTTCCTTGTATGGGTACCTGGACTGCCCTCAGATCCCCTGCTAAAAGTGGACAACTTTTTGTGGGTTAAATTCGTGAAACCCAACCACTAAACCACCTAAGAAGGCTAAAAAGCTAAGGAACCGGATGGCTGGAAGCCGCCAAGGTACCATTTGCCATTTAAGCAAATGGAAGTACCAGGCAAATCTGGCTCCTCCAGATTTGAGAGGTTAGAATAAGGGTACCAACCTTTTTTCTGTTTTGTCTGTTTCAGTAGGGGAACCTCCCTAAAAAAAGAAACGGTGAGAGGTCGGGCACCTAGCTGGGGCACCTAGTTGTCTGTTGTTGAGGGGAACCCATTTTTGGCTGAAGGGAAACCGTTCCCCAGTTCTTGTGGAAAGTAGGGATGTCCTGAAGCAAGATCAAGATATTTCAGTGACTTGCTCAGTGGTTCAGTAACCCTGGGCAAAAACAAGGGAACCCTTTTTGAGGCTTGGACCATTTTTAGTGGGGCCACCAAAAAAAGGGGAATACGAAAAAGGGTGCCACTGAGGCCATGGGTCAAAACCCAAACCGTACCCCCAGTGAACATCCGATTCAATCCAACCACTAAAATAGGAAACCTAAAATGGGTGGTGAATTCACCAATCCCAACCACTCGCTTCCTGAGTTGATTGGCCAAAAAAAGTCCAAACTTTTTGTTTACCACCAAAATGGTCCAAACCCAAAAAGTGTAAAGTCCATGAACTCAGGGAGTGAGACCAAAAAATGGAGAACCCCTTCTTTCAGTGAACATCCGATTCAATCCAACCACTAAAATAGGAAACCTAAAATGGGTGGTGAATTCACCAATCCCAACCAACATGGGATCAACCTTTTAACGGTTTTGACCACCGCCATTTCAGGGACTTGGTTTTGAACCCCGGGGCTCGGTAGCTGGCCTCGTCTACCTCGAAGCGAGTGTCGAAGCTGAGGTTCTGCGAGGCCAGCCTCGAGGCGATTTGGCTGTGGCGAATTCAAAAAACCGGAAATTTCCAAAATGGAACATGGAAACATGGCACCAAAAAACCGGAACATGGAAATGGAACTTGTTAAGTGGAAACATGGACCCAAACCTGCGGTTTGCCCCTCCTGGTTAATTGTGAGCCACACCCAATTTGACTATATACAGCGCAAGGCCGCCTTTCCCTCTGCCCAGTGGCCATGGGGAAAAAAAAAGGCGGGCGTCCATTTTATTTTGGCTTGAGTTTGAAGGGGAAGGACAAAAAGGGATGCTACTGGGCAACTGGGCTCCACTGGAAAAAGGGGTCATCCTCAAAGAAGTCTCTCCCTGAACCCTCAAAAATCTCTGGAAAAACAGGTTCTTGCCCCATTCTATGGGTAGTTTGCGGGTTCAGGTTTCTATAAATGGGGCCTGGAATCTGCTTCTGACCCCTAGAAAATGGGATAAACCCAATGTAAGGAGGCATGACCCCATGCCTCTGCTCACTTTCCTCTAAAATGTGGTATTCAAGATGTGACATCCTCGAAAAGCTACCAGAGCATTTCTGGTGGTGAAGTGAGAAATTCGGGGGAAACCCCAAAAGTGATCGTGAGAATCCGACTCAAAATGCAGTAAGGGTCCCAGTCAGTCTTTGGGTCGCCCAGGTATGCGTTGAGGGCACCCGAGACCTTTGTTCTGATTTTGAACAGAAAGGACCCGGGCTGAAAACACGCAGGCCAAGGAGTGGAAAATAGCTGACTAATGAATAAAGCCAAAACCGAAACCGTCATTTGTTAATCAAACTGACCTAAGCATGCATATATGGAGTCAAATCCAATTTGCAGGAGCCCCAAATGGGTGAATTCCCCTTTGGCTTCCTTGGACACCATCCAAAAAGTTGGCTACTCTCGAAGAATGACACAGATGCTCTGGCCAATGGCCATGGTTCCCTCAACATGGTTTCGCTGAGTTTGTAAGTCGACTCAGAAACTACGACTCTTCACTCAGGCCGCGGCTCGGCGGGGCACAGGCTAGGGCTCACGCCCATGGCGCAAAAAAAAAGAAAGAGCGAAAAACTGACGTCTTCCGCGGATTCGCGCGAATCCGCGCGCGGAAGTGTGCCGGTTAGGCGGAGAAGGCGGTTTCGGTGCTGCCAGAACAAAAAACCTGCCTGGGTTGATGATTTACTTTCGGTGATGGACCAAATGCGGCACGGGAAGCGGAATCCACTTCTCTACCATTGATATACTGTGGCTCAAGCTTGTGCAGTGCATGTTTCTTGCAACTTCATGACAAGGGCTATGGTCAAAACTCCTGTCACGCGTTGGCTTTTGATGCTGTGAAGGGCCTTCTTTTGGGAGTTTTACCCCCGTGAAGGGGCCTTGTGGATCAAATTGATGCTCAGCGAGTGCTTCAACTGCTTGGTGCTGGTCCTCTGCTCTGACCTGTCTGAAACAAGTCTTCAGGGGCTGCATGCAAACAGGGAAGCTCTTCACTAGCGACGAAAAAGATGTTTTCTTCAAGAGGCGCAGGGGTCAAGGGGTAAACAAACGCCTCTCAAGGACCTTGCATATCGAGGTGTTCACGCTTTGGGAACCCTCACTCAACTGGCCACGAGGGAAAGCCAAACAAGTGAAAAGATCGATTTGGCCAAGTGAGAAAGAGCAAACCGGCCGTGGCGAACCATGGTTACTTTGTTTGCGTCGGCCAGGTACGGTCATGGTGCAAGCTGAGCCCATGAGAATGCAGCGGTGTGTGTGTGTGTGTGCGTTTTCTAGAGGTTGATTCCCCATTCTGTTAAACCATCGTTCTTTTTGAACACCGGATCCGTTTCCCTGGGTTTCCGGAGGTTTTTTAGAAAGAAGGATCCCTGGAAATAATGGGGAAGGTACCCCTAGAGTTTTGCAATTGTTCTATTTCAGCCTGGATTGGACGAAGCCCTTGTTTGAACATAATTAAACACCTACCTGGACCCTCAAAATGCCCTTAAAATTGCAGGTGTTGCCCTAAAAATGGGGATGACATCCCTTTCTGGACAGCTCTTTCGGGACTAGGTATTGGCTTTTCACTCCCTGTTGTTCACCACCCTGCCACCCCCCAGTTTCAACACCCCAAAACAAAGGAGACGGGCGTCCGGCTTGCAAGTGATGCTTTCAGGCTCGTGTAACTGCGAGAACAACATGACAACCTGGACCCTCAACCTACCCATAATAAAGAAAGTCACGCCATAATTTTGGGGCAATACTCCACGTTCAAGGGGAAATTGAGTGTCCAGGAACACGTTTTGGTGCAGGGGGAAGAAGCACAGGCAAGTATGGCACGCATCCTGACACTGCCGAAAACCCAACGACGTATTCCCGTTCAAGCTGCAGCCTTTTGGGGTTGGTGGATTGATACGCCGCATTTCACCTGGATAAACAACGCCCAATGACTGGGAAACATCGAAAAATCAACTGGTGCCGATGTTTGGCGTGGATGGCGAGTCTAGCTTGTCAGCTCCGGTCCAAACCCAAGCGTCAAACTCCGGTTCTTCGGCCGATTGGGCCATGGTTCCCTGAGGAATCATTCTAACGGTTCAGGATCCTTGCTACCAGGATGATCATCCTGTCAACCTCGGTACAGGGGTCTTTTGACCATGGCACATGCAGGTGATATATGTTGCAGAAAGATACTGTGGCTGGACGAAATCCTCACCACTTTGAAGCCATGGGAAACCATTTTTTGTTGGGCGTCCACCACATCCCAAACGATGTTAGGGGCGAATCGGGTACAACGGTACAACCCTCATGAAGTGGTCAACAATCGCTGCAAAGTAAACTATCAGAACATCCCCTTTGATTTGGGAGCATGGTAATATTCACCCTGTGACAGACCCTGTGTGAATTTAATCAATCCCAGTTTATCAATAGGGGGTGTTCCCCTCCAAAAGTGATGATTCCCCACTAAACCCAGGGTCACCCCGCTATTAATAAACTGGAGTTGGTGAATACTGTGGATGGACGAAATCCTGCACCACTTTGAAACCATGGTTGAAATCATTGTTTGTTGGTATTTACATTCGAATCATCATTCCAGGGTTTCTGAACGGTGGTGCGAAATTGATTTCGCAACCATCCACAGTATGAGGTCAACATTATGGGGTTTACTTCCAAACCCTTCTTCTTTTGCCCGACTCTCCTCGCTCCGAAGCTTCCCCCGCTCAGAAGGGCCTGCGGTTTCCTCGCCCTAGCAGGGACGCTGGGGGTCGACAGTTTCTCTTTCAACCAAACCGAAAATCGGTGCCTCAAAACAAGAAACCAACAACAAAAACACCAAAGAAGGAGAACAAGCAAAAAAGAAAAACATCGGGCACAAGCCACTTGTTTTAGTTGAATCTCCGTCTTCCCCCGGGCTTGTCGGGTCGTTAAACATCTGTGGCACTCGCGGGGGCTTGGCGCTTGCTCCCTGGCAGTCCCGGGATTTCCCCGGGGCGCGAAAGGTTTTGGAGGCCAAGCGTTCCTGGCCAAAAAGTTTTTGGGTGAGTTGTGTAGGGAAAGCCAGGAGAACCGTTGCCCCAATTTGGGTCTTTGGAGTTGGTACTACCCCAAAGGGGTTTCGCAGGAAAACCAAAAGGAGAAGCGTTGCGCCAGTTTGGGACGGTCCGAATCCGAAAAGACAGCCATGTTCTCAAGCCAACCCAAAAGTCGATGCTATTTGGCAGTGGCTCAAAATTAAAGAGCTAGGGTTACGCAGGTTTGGGTCCATGTTTCCACTTACCAGGGCAAGCCATTTAGGTTCCGGTGCTTTGAGCCATTTGAGCCTGCAAGATCAAACATCTTGCCAGCCCAGCAACGCATGAGAAAATGCAGGAATTTCCTGCCAAAGCCGCAGTTGCAACATGGATGCTGTGCACTGCCACATCCATGGCATGCAATCAGAATCGTACTTGACACCTGGCTAAGCACAGGCCCGAGGCGTGCCTAACATGTCCAAAATTGGGTCTTACAGGGGGCTGCGGCGTCCTAAGTGTCAGAAATACCTGGAGTCTTCATGACCCTTAAAGCTTGGCTGGAACTAGGACCCCAGCAAAAACTTTTTTTTTTTGCCTGGTTAGTGGAAAACAAAGGGACCCCAAAAAAGCAAAAAAGCAAAAAGGGGAGCTAATTCTGGGGAAGAAAGTACTATGGTTGGTCATTACCCCAAATCAAGGGGTCATGGACCCATTTTTGATTCGGGTCATGGAGACTTCGGGTAGATACCATTCTGGCCAGAACCAATGCCAAGATTCAGAATGTCAACCGAAAAGCCCAAACTTGGATACAGCGTTGGAAAGACATTGAGCAGCCTACCCATCACCCTCCGATGCCCCTCACATACCCCACAAGGGCTATCCCCAAGAAGTGGTCCAAACCCCTGGGTTTGAGCCAGACTTGAACAACTTTGCTTGGGAGGGGCCTTCCGTTGAACAACAACTAGGTCCTCCAGTAGAGAGGTTAGAATAAGGGTTCCCTTTATTCTGCAGTCTACTTTAGTAGGGGAACCCTCCCCAAAAAAGGGCAGTACTGGGGGACCTAGACAAACTACCCAAAAACGAACCAACTGCCGCTGTGGGCCTTTGGGGTGATGTTTCACACTCCTTCCTATGAGGTCCACTGGAGCTGGCCTTCTTGCAATCACCCCACAACCCCCCTGCCCCCACCCCCCCCCAAACCCCGTTTGGCTCGTACAAGCCTTCTTCAGCCCTTTACCGGGGCTCGTGGTTCTTTCTTTGGGTGAGAAGGTTGGTGGGGTGTTCGTAGTGTCTTTTGGGAACCCCATGTTGCAAAATGGCGATCTGCGGCTTGCCGCATTCGGGGGCATTGGTTTGGAGCTCGGCGGTTTGGAGGTTTTCTGGGGGAAAGTTCCCATTTACGCTCTGCACAAGCAGCCAAGGGTTCAAATCCCCAAACCACCAATCCAACCACCAATTCAAGGTTACCTGACACATTGAACCCACCTGGAAAAAGGGAACCCTGCAAAATCGTGGCATGGTCAGAGCAAGCCGAGACAAACAAAATGGGGGGCTCCCAAGAAAGATCCCTTGTTTCACTTGTGTTTCACTTTTCAGCCGCCCCAAAATGCTTGCCCTCAAATCAGGACACACCTATGTGGTTGTTTCTTTCTTGATGATTTAGGGAAGAGAAGTCAAAAAGGAACCCACCCATTTTGGACGTTTGGAGACAAACCCGTACAACAGTCTGTAGACACGAGTCGCCCAGTCTTCCCTCCACCGCTCCCTGTGCCTCCGTGCGCCAAGCTGCTCGAGTCGCTCAGCGGGCGATGGCCAACTGAGGTCCTTTGCGGAACTTGGTCTTCGCTGCGCCTGCGGCACCTAGGGCAAAATGGTACTGTGGATGGACGAAATCCACCACCACCTTGAAGCCAAGGGAAGCCGTTCGCTGTTATTTGCAGTGGAATCATCCTTCCAGCATTCAGGGTTTCTGAGGGAGATGCAGGATTTCGTCAGGACTTGTGACAAGCTGATCTGCGGCTAAAAGTCGAACTTGTTTCTTCCTTGATATGTGGAATGGCCAAAAGTTGAACTTGCGGCTGTTGTTGCCATGTGGGGGGGCGTCTAAAAAAAGGGACCCCCAAAAGGCTGGTGTCTCTTTGGTGCCTATGGAAGACCACACAAAAAGTGGTACCTTCCAAAGTCATAAGCCCCTTGAAACTCTGAATGCAACGCGTGCCCTTGCATAACCGTCGAGAGATAGGCATGAACGGTTCGGCCGAAAGCGACTCGTGACTCGGCCGAAAGCTGCAAAAACTCGAGCCGAAACTGGTCAACACTCCTATGGCCTATGGCCATGGTTCCCTTATAATGGTTATCAATCAAGCCTTGCCTGTAGCAGTAGCTATTTACCACCAATTTACCTCAAATGTACCCCCAATTTTGTAGGTGATTTACCCCCAATTTGGTGGGTATTTTACACCCAAATTTGCTGAATCTGTGGGCAGCTCACCCCAAATTGTGTGGGTAACTTGCCCCCATTTTTGGGTAATTTACCCCAATTCTGTGGGTAATTTACCCCCAGTTTTGTGGGTAGTTTTTACCCTCAATTTGGGGGGGGGGGGGGTAATTTACCCTCAATTTTGGTGGCAATTGACCCCCAATG